TTCTTGTTTTGTTTTTTTTATCCGATAAGCCTAGATGTCATATCTTTCCTACTATAAGATCAGGGGTGTGGCTGACAGTCAGCAGAAAAAAGAGCCAAGGAGTAACAGTAGAAAGACTGCAGAAAGAGTCAGGAGCCCAGAGGAGGGGGCAAAGGGGAGGGAAGAGGGAGAGGGGGAAGGGGAGGGGACAGAATTTGGAGACGAAAGCAGTCGACAGAACCTGATTAGAGTTAGAGAGCAGGAAAGGAGGTGAAAGTAGACAATTTTAAAGAAGAACTTTATCCGTCGCTATTAGGTTTCAAATCCGGGACCTATTGAATGAGAGACAGACACCATAACCTCTTGACCACGAGAACCCCCATTCTTAGTTTAATCAACTCAAAATATGTCAAAAGAAAATACAATGTGACTCCACGCAGCTATTACAGTCATTTACATCTATTTTTTTCTTTCAGCCAACTTGAGCATGGTTCTCGTCCTCATCGTCATCGTCTTCATCCTCTGCCAGACGCCCGGTCTCATCTCGCAGTTCGACGTCATCTCCATCAAAGTTTTCTTCATCTGGCTGGCCGTGAGCAACGTTCTCTTCACCACCAACTCGGCTGTGAACTTCCTCATTTACACGGCGTTCGGCCGAAAGTTCCGCAGCGTTCTTCTGCGACTTTTCCGCCGGTTCTACCACGGAGGAAGGCGACAGTCTATGTGCAACTATCGGACCACACAAGTCACCAACGACTACGATCCCTCCAACATGAACGATACCCAGTACAGCTCCATACGGTCGAACAAAAGTCAAGGGAAAAATGGCGGGACGCCAGCTGGTGGGACGAACGGCGTCCATGAGAATCTTCAGTTGAACAATTTGTCGAGATCTAACAATAACGAGAATAACGGTAATGGCGTCGTTGGTAACGGGAATGTACAAGGAGGGATGGGTAGTTTGAAAAGGTCTGATTTGTCTCCGACACCGGAGTTGGAGGAGGATTCTGAAGATGTGAGAATCAACGAAAGGTCACCTTTGACCTATCACTCCGGGAGTCAAGAAGTCATAAAGAACGAGAATGTTGCGGAAAATGATGAGTTTGTTAATATGGATGGAGTGGATATCCCTTCTTTTGATGATAACGGGGGTGTTAATTCCATACAAGAGAAAACAAAATTTGGGGATTCAAAGGGAGAATCTAACGACAGTGTCAAGTGAGACGGGTGGATCACACTTGACCACTTAAGCACACGAAATCCAAACTGATATACAGCTGAAATCTCTTGATATTAAAGGAACTAAAAGTGCTGCCGCTTGTGGTCTGTTTATGCGTTAGGCTCTATGTCTACTACGTAAAGGGCAGGAGCTCGATTCTTAAGTTGAGCAAATGTGTTTATTGTGTGTCTCCATCTTTACACTGAGATGCTCATATGTAGTATCTCACACAGCCCACATCCTAATTTATCTAAATGTTGCTGGGTTTGGTGGTGTATACGGCATAGATCAATACGAGTGTGTTATATCTTTGACTAAGCATGGTTTGACAATGATCATTGAGCGTTGCTCACAATATACCCGTTGGTCAAACAAGACTACGTGCCTCCATGTCAAGATCAGGAATGGGTTCCTCTACATGGTATGAATAATCCTATAGTGTACCTGTCCACTCATTTACTAGAGGAGCAGGGCCAAACGGACGAGAAATTAAACCCCTCAGAATGATACTATCACAACGTCCCCTTCCACTAATACCGTTGGATATCTCGGGTAGAGACATACGTCTGTCTGCAGCTTGGTGTAAGGTTTGGAGGAGAGACAGGCTGTTCAAAGATCTGCATAAAAGTCTGCCCAGCGTTGTCTTGGTCTTCCTCCTGATTCAAGTGTTGGATTTTCAGAAGGAAATTCAGATATTACGGTATGCTCCTTGAAGTCATGATTCCAGGAATGCCGTAAGACTTGGATAGAAGCGCTCAGTTTTCGAGAATGAGATTAAAACCAAACATAATGTCAAAGACATCGTTACCCCTACGAGTGAGCCGATTCTGTGCCTCTGAAATATCATGTCCCAGTCGGAGGCTGGTGGTACAGCAAGTTACAAACGTAATAGCCAGCTCTGGGAACGTTAAGCTCAAAACTTAGTGGGGTTTGGATTGTATTTCTTGTCGTTCTTGCAGTATCGCCTCTCGCCGAAGTGCTCTGACAAAAAAGAGCGCCTCCCCGCCCCCCTTTCTGTTCGAACTGACTTATACTGTGTCTACTTCGGCCTTTATCTTCAACAAAATCAAAGTTCGATCAAATTGGAGCTGTACTCACCATGCGGCCTGTGCTCTTGTTCTGGCGCCTCAATGAGCGGAATGTCTGCGAGAACAAAAACTAACGGTGCTATCAGACAGCAGACGGCGTTCAGAAAAACGGGTGTCTTCATGCGGGTTTATTTTCTTCCAGAACGTGGACAGGTGAGGAAGGGGTTAACTCCCATATCAGAGTTTTCACAACACGCCATTGAGTGAGGAATCTCAAGCTTGCCGAGATACAGAGATGTACTCTTATACCTTTGCTCTAGTGTTGAGCGAAATAATTACAAGGACGAGAACGGAATGGCAGTAGTAACAGAAAAAACGTGACCTTCAAAAGGTGCTTGCTACTACCTGTGAGAGACACCTTTGTGTAATTTTGAGTAACCAGTATTGTGTATCGAAATGTATTTCATGGAAAAACAATTCCTCTTCATAAAAGCGTGCCAAAGTGTGCGGTATGGCTCCACTCGTGGACGATTTGGTAATTTTTGTGAGCGATGGGAATGACACAAGTAATAATAGATTTTATTTGATGTCCTACTTGGAAACACATGTAGGTGGGTGCTACGAAAAGTGTACCCTCTTAATTAAGTAAAGGTGGTGAAAAGGGGCGTTGGCTATAAAAAGGTTGATGGGCACTACTCTACATAGTGACTTATCATCTAAACCATAAAATTCTTAAAGCTTGCCTATCAGTGTGCCATACTGATTTCAAGTCCGAGTTTGAGGATACAAGAGTAGTCTAAAAACCAAGTCATTTTCATCAATTACTCATCATTACTGGAAGCTCACTGTTTATCTACATTACGCTGATGCACCAATGGAGAAGCAACGATTAGAAAGTCGTGATAATATTATTGTTCCAGCACTATTCACTCCGACGCTCTTCAGTAATGTTTATTTAGAATTTTCACCATTGACTTGAATTATAATACCCTAGACCAGGCACTGCCATGTCCGACACTCTTTAATCTCTGAAAAAATGTTATCTGCACTGGTATACACCATGGGTGTGCAAATGAAGCGCAAAACACCGGTATTGCTATTGTCTTGTCCTTCATTTGGTTGGAAACAGAGTCAAAATTAAATGGTGTGCACCTCGGTGTACCATAATTACGTCAGAGTGCACTGTCTACGATACTATAATACAAGTCTATGGTGATAATCACCAGATTATGTTCGCTCAATGTTTTTTATCCTGATTCAATGCAAATCATTTTCCCGGTTTAGCGGTGCCTGTGCATTTGTCCACCTAAGAAGATTTCCCACTAAGACGTTCAGGAAATGCTTTCATGTGCACATAGAATTATTATAATATTCTGTTGTAGCTGGTGTATTCGTCCACAACTCCAAGCTGAGAGTGGAATTTACAGGGCCAGTTTCTGTCTAGTATGGCGCCAAACACATTTACCGTAACGCTGTCTTAGAATTACAAAGTTCTATCTGCTCAGTGCTTAGGTTTACTTTTATGGGGGGTTGGGTTTTTGGTTTTTGTTCGGGAGTTTTTTTTGGTGTTGTTCGGGTGGGGAGGGGGGGGTGGGTTAAAAAGAAATTTAACGTAAAAAAATTTTGAGTTTCACAACACGAACAGCTTTTTCGAAGGCAATACTTTGAATAACTTAGTAACGATTGCCATTTTATATTCTTACAATTTTTATAGAGCTGATATCACATTAATTTGGTTTCTGACCTCATGGTCTTCGTAACTGAAATAGGCCAAACATGTCAGATAGAACTGTCTAATTCTAAAGTTGCGTTAAACTAACTATTTTTTAACCCAGTGTAATGCCCCCGTGTACACTCGTCCGATGGCTGCAAAGTATGACGTCACTTGGCAGTGAGGAGAGAAGAACAGGCGAAATTGCATCATTTGAATATTATTATTCAGAGCCTTTCGACCAGTCGAAATTTCCCCAGAATGCTCGGGGCCTTACGAGACCAGGCCCTAATGCTGTGTGAAAACGTCCACCTTAGGAGAACATTTCATTGAATAACCCTGCATATACCCGGTTTCTGGGAGCTTTATCGTCATAGAATGTCTCCCAGCTATCCCGTACAACTCTTCTGAAGGCGCAATGATTGCAGTGGTTGTGCCCGGCTGCTTGTTGAAGTTCCCGAACAACTTTTTTTTCCCTGACTCGAATTCCCGATATTTAAATTGGGCCAAACTGTAATAAATATAAATACTTGTATTATTCTTAACCTATGGACTAACTTGTTACTTAATGCTTGCACACTGATATTATCTATACAACCACTTCAGTCGTCGTTGTGTTTACTGCAATAATATCTTCGTGGAAGCGGACACTGTGAGCTTAGCACGTTAGGACTCTGACTGTGATTCTGTTTTGTTTGTTTTGGTAAGTGTTTTTACGGCGCTCGCAAATGCATAAGGTCATATGAGCGTGCGGGAAACACCAAACATTTTTCAATTGGTAGGAAATTTTGAATTTTGCCCTGGTGGCGGCCGAAGCCCACTCTTATCGATTTTAGACCACCAAGGGATCTTTAACGTGCACAACTTGCACACGGGCCCTCCGAGATTTTTAGCCCTTGTCGAAGAAGGCTAGGTGTAGATCTTTCCTACCAGAAGATCAGGGGTGTGGCTGAAAGACAGTAGTAAGAAGGAGCCAAGGAGTAGCAGTAGAAAGGCTGCATAAAGAGTCAGGAGCCCAGAGGAGAGGGTAAATGAGGTGAGTGAGTGGGGGCAGAAAGTGGAGATGAAAGCAGACGACAGAATATTGCAAGAGAGAAGGAAAGAAGGTGAAAGGAGACCATTTTAAAGCAGAAAATTTTTCGGTCGCTACCCGGACTCGAACCCGGGACCTTTGAATGAGAGGCAAACACCTTAACCTCTAGGCCACGAGAGCCCCCACTGTGTTTCTGGTTGACCAGTAATATCTTTTGAGCACATAAATGCAGGACCTGTATTGTGGTTTGTGTATTACCTTCGTTGTTGTTTTGTTTTGTTTTTGTTTTTGTTTCGTTGTTTTTTTGTTGGTGTATTTTTGGGAAAGGGGTAGAAGCTCATCTGGGTTAATTTAATTATTTTAAAATTATTTATTTATCTATTCATTTTTTGGAGAGGGTTGTGCTGCAGCCTTGGACTTTTATTTAAAATATCACATTTAACCGCGCAAAATATAAGGTACTAGGCAGGGTTTCGTGAGATATTTAAGTGTGGGAATCTGTCAAGTAGTGGTCAGAGAAGAAGACGGGTGGGGTTGTAGTGTTCCGAACCATCTCTGTATGAGAAGGTCTTTTCTAGTCCGCGCAGGCGCTTGGTTCAGAAGCGTAATTTTTCATATGTCGAGCAGATTGGGATTTTTCGCCCTTTCTGCTTTTCCTTCAGGTTCTCGTTTACTCGCAAAGGCCCTGTCATTTTCATCTACAGTCGAAGCAAAACACGCATCTCATCCGAACAAAAAAAGGAGAATCCCCATTCGAAAATACGACATGCATGGATATCATGAACGCGAAGATGAAAACAAGAAAGAAAACTATCACTTTTGTTGATCACCATTGGGAAATTCAAATTGACAGTGACTTGAACTATGCATATTGAATTGAATGACTGATTACACTGTACGACATCTCCAAAATGGGTTAATATAAATGTATGTCTGCACTCTTTGCTTTGCTTGTTTTCGATTCTGTGCTTATTACAACTTTTGGGCATCTATGTAACTGTTATTTTATTCATTTTCATGACATTTGTCATTTTTTTTTTTAAAGACAACTGGTTAGGCACTTCATCGTAGCTTCCCATGTTGGGAATAGTTATCGAGTTCCTCTGTCTTTGTGCTCTGACGTTGTATACCTCTCAGTGTTGGTTAGCCCTGGCAGACAGGATATGATCGAAGCCTGCTACCAAAATGATGTAAACTGGGCCTACAGGGGCATGAACCACTTACATTTTCTTTAAAAATATATTATAAGTTAGATACATATTGGTTCATGTATGTGCTTTAGTGCAAAGGTTATGACTCAACCATTATTTTGACTTGCGCACTTATGTGTCAGAAAGATAAACTAAATCTTATTGCAGTATTAGTGCTAATTTTTCTAAGGCTTTTCTTACACTGTGTCGTGTGCGTAGGAGGGGGGGGGGTGGAGGGTATTTATTTTTTTGTCTTTTTTTTGTTTGTATTCTTTTCCGGATTGCAGTTTGAAGTACAAATTGATGAGAACTGGGAGAAAATTATGTAATTAAAAAAACTGTGCGGTACCGCTGAGCTATTGAGGAAGCTAATAACATTTGTCTTTTTTTTATACTTGAGGCTAAGGCATTAAACGAGAATTCGTTTTTCTTTGTACCATGTCTAATTGACTCCAGATAACATCCTGTGTCCGAGCAACGTATGGGGATCTGAGGGGTAGCCTAATAGTTCGGCTCAAAAGCCAGGACTTTCGATTGAAGAGTCATTTCTGAAAAGACAATCCAAATATTTGCTGATCGTATTTTAACCAAATGTAAACTAAATAATAATCGGCAAGGGTCTTCTGCGTCGAATTCCAGCATGATATAACGCTGTTGTGTTCAATATACGAGTAGATAATACAGCTAGATTTTTGTGAATTAAAAAAAAATGAATTCATTTACTAACGTCACTGTTTGATCCCACATTATGTAATAATTACACAAACGTAATTAATTAATTTTCATTCAAGGTTATTTATACGGATGCTCCCTTAATGATTTCTAATTAATTTTCCCACTAAATATGCAATTAAAAGTACATTTCTTCTAATAAACTTTAGTAAACAAATTATGAATACACTTCTGGGAAACTGACGCGTCAGTTTTATTAATGCAAAATCTGAATCTGTGGTTTTCTTGAACTAATGAACACTCTGTTTTAGTAAGCGTTTTACGGCACTTGCAACACAATAAGGCCATATAATTGAAGAAGATTGCAGGTGTTTCAAGAGCGTCACAAACACAAAAAAGAAGGAGAAATAGGAACGACAGATGTTAGGTAGGAGAGAAGGAGCAAACCGCACCAGAGAACTCACCAAAGACATACAATCATGAACTCTTAGAAAAAGATTAAAGATTATCTTACCCACCTTTGCCTTTGCTGCTCTTTCACATGAGATGAAAGGAAACTAACTGCTCGCTTGGGTGAATACAACTGATAGAGTCATGATATTGTTTGTTAATGCATATTGTTTGTTAATGCGCATTGTTAGCTGATTTTCCCATCTTTTCATAATCAGAAATCACGAACTATCCATCCTATCATAGTTTCTGGATTTCTATCAACAGAAAGGCTTATAGGTTACATAAACACGATCTCTGACTTTCCTAACATTATATATATGTTAGGAGATGGTTGGCGGGTGTTCTGGTGTAGTTTGCTGCTTCTTTTTCTATCAATGTATATCGTTCTCCTCGTTTTGTTTTGTGATTGTTACTCTCTTGTAACACTTCTAATCTTCAGCACTTTTATGACCTTATTG